TCATTGAATCAAGGATGTACATTTGAATATGTCCTTTTAAATTTAAGAAATATTAATTATACTATATTTTTATAATCTATTTTTACAACATTTTTATTCACATAAATTAATTTATAGTCTCCTTATGACTACGTTTCTATTTATAGTCTTATGCAAAGTTAATCGATAGGAAAAGTGAGATAGATGATACATATTCTTATATGTCTTTATGTTTTTCAAACAAATATTGTAACTTTTATTCATGGGATAAGAATAGGGTCATAGTTCCAATGAATGTCTTTAAGTCATATTTTAATTTATTTAGTTTTAAGTGTTCTGATTGAAAAAAATTGACTTGTATGTAAGTTTATCAGACTCGAGAGTCTACGTAAACTTGTAAGAGGTCGATAAACTTGATGTGAACATGACCTATGATAAGGGATAGAGTAAAGGAAACAAAGAAAACTTTTCAACAAGTATTGTTTGTTGATCAAATTGTGTTTTGTATTAATCAATTAACGAACTTTAGTTTGGTTTTATTGCAAGTTGTAATAAGGACCCAATTAGAAATTTAGTTATCAGTCTTTGGGAGACGAAAATGGTGTATAGCTGATTGACTTTTAGATGCCACAATTTCAGTTACAATAAATCATTAAATAGTTTTTAATTCCTAGGTTAATGGATCATTATTAGCCTTTATTTGTCTCCATTAAGTAGTTTTCGATTCCTAGGTTAATGAATAATTATTAGCATTTATTTTCCTTTATTAAATCTTTATAATTCTGATGGCAAAACTTCTATATAGGCTGAACCATTTTTATCAAAAATAACAAGTGAAATTTTATTTTGAACTATTAGAGTTTATCTCTTTTATCTTAGGAAGAGTAATTCTCCTAAATTCTTGAGTGATTCAAGAACCCTTAGCTGTATCAAAGGACTTTCACATCCTTTGTGAGTAGTCTTCCTTGGAAAGAGTGATTCTTTTCTTCCACCTTATCACTAAATTCCTAAATTTCTTACAAGGTTCTAACCCTAAAGATCTTAAATCACCCCTTGTGATTTATATCAAAACTCGACTAGTAAACTCGATTTGTAGACTTGTAAGAATTTACTTCATATGAAAAATATCAATTTAATAATAAATATAATAATATTAATTCCTCATTATTAAAATAAATAAAAATTAATAATTGAATTTGTACAACAAGATAATCAAAATAAACAAATCCTAAATATTTAAAATCTCTCAATCTATTTGAAACTCTAAAATCTCAAATCCTTCAATCTAACTTGTCTTATTTATTCAAAAATCCTAAAATCCATCTATTCTTCAATCTAACCTAAAAGGCGGTGAGCAATGGCAAGTAAACGCAAGGAGTGTGACCAAGTGGCGAATCTTAACCATTGATCTTGGGAGGGCCAAATAATATATTATTAATAAATAAATATAAAAGGAAGAAAGAAGATGAAATGGTGAAAAAATAAAATTGTAGATATATACTTAAATATATTAAATGATCATTAAGTTTGAGGGGAACAAAATCATAAATTACATGAGAGTTATAAAACTGGGGAGGGGTTGAGAGGATAAAATTGTAAATATACAAGTAAATATATTAAATGTTCATTAAGTTTGGGGGGACCAAAATCATAAATTACATAGGAGTTACAAAACTTTGTTTGGGGGTCACGACCCCCTCGCCTCCAAGAAGATCTCGCCACCGAGTGTGACCTAGGTAAATGTCGCACGACCACCGTGCGACTAATGCTGACCCAAGTGAGCGTCACATGACCACCGCACGATCAAGGGAAAGTACGCAATGACGATCACTGACGATGATAAGCAGTCACGAACAGTGGGAAGGAGCGAGATTTGAACTTGTGAGAAGAAGTAAGAAGAGTCGAAAAAGATCCAAATTTTTCTTTTCCTTCAAACTTGCTGACTCGCCGCTATCTCGAGCCTTTACTTAGAACCCACCGAGTTTGACTTTGAATCTACTCTAAAACGAGTCTACTCACGAGTTAACTCGTACGAGTAAGCAAGTTAACTCACGAGTTTGATAATTATGCTTGTACAAGAATATCATCTTTAAATTTTGTGCTTATATTAAATTGAAAAGATGAATATTAATTACGAATGTCATTAAATGAACTAACCTAGTTAAATCATTAATAGAATATAACATATATATATTAGTCAAGTCTTATGACTATAGGGTAATGCATTTAATTGATAAGATGATGCATTGTTAAGTTGGCGTGTAACTTTTTGTGTACGTGATAACAACTTAAAATTTTCTATCAATGATTTCATGACTTCACTAGAGAGAAACACAAAATATGGAAGAAAAATAGAAAAAAATTTAATGTTCAAAAGTGAGTTAAGAGTCCCACTCCTTCAAAAATATTGATTATTTTGGATATTTTATATTAATATTGGAATATAGAGGGAGAGAGGGGGTGGGGCGCGGGGGAATTAATCCTCTTTATACGTTGATTTGTTCATGTATAAAATTCACATACTACATTGATGGTTTTGAAAACCAATTTAATATTATAAAATTATAATAGGGGAAAACTTTCTACGTTTATTATTAACTAGAATCAACGTGAAAATAGACATACCATATTGAATATGGCTATAATCAATATAAAAAGTTTCAACATTTTACATCTTTTTTATAACCGATGAAATATGTTTTTTTAATAATAAGTTTTAATTTAACTTATCTTACAAGTAATCAAATAACTAAATTATATATATATATATATATATATATATATATATATATATATATATATATATATGGGTTAATTCTCAAATTCTCAAATTAGAAATTTTACCCCTTAATAATATCCACTATCTATTCAATTCATCCATATAAAAATTAACAACTCTATTAACCCATAATTACTATTAAAATCTAATGTCTAAACAAGCTTTCTCCATTTTTATTAGATTTCTTCAACGATAGATGTGTCCAATGACACCTCATGTGGAAAAAGTTACAACATATATCTTAAATGTTATTTTTTTATTATAAGCATATTTAAAATCTTACAAAAATTACTTAAGATAATTAAAAATATATTATTACCTAGTATCATGTATTCATATTAGCCATAAGATTATGGTCAATGCATGATGTACCACCATACTCAAAGCTTCTTTATTACTTATTCCACTAATTTATCAATTTTAACAAAGTTAATTCTTTACAATTTAATAAACATGTAAATAATTTTAATATTAAAAAGTAAATACATTAAGATAAATCAAATATAAATTATGTGATATAAAGGTAGATTTACCATTTAATAAATGCATTTTTAACATAAAAAAATTACTAATTAATAATGGAATATTATGATTGAACTAAAAAAACTACATTACATTTTAATTAATTATATATATATATATATATATATATATATTAAAACTTTGAAGCTAGTGCCAATTATATAACGAACAGATACTGTATTGAATATCGAGAAAACATTGGTAAGTTGAATTTAATACATAATCATTAAATATATATATATATATATATATATATATATATATATATATATATTATATAACAACAATAATTATATAGGAATAAATTTTGTAATAATAAAAATAATCCTATATGAATATATTTTTTCTTATGAAAATTCGATAAAATTTCATTTATTTTTTACTTCTCCCTATACTAGAAGAAAGGTATAATCATTTACAATCAAGTAAAATATCCAATACATTTAACATAACTTTATACTTAAAAAAGGTTCTCAATTGTTAAACTTAATAACATAATTAAACTTAGATTATACTATATTCTTATGTTTAACTTAATTCAAGTTTGATAAGTTTGTTGGTTAAATTTTAAAATAATAAATTAGTTTTCTAAATTAATAAGCTTGTTTGATAATTAATAAATTTTTATTTCCATTATAGATTAAAAAAAATATTTCTTAAATCTAAATTAGTAAAGTTATATTTCCTAAATTTTAAATCAACAAAGTTTTGTTTCTTAAATTCTAAATTAATAAAGATTTATTTTCTAAATTCTAAATTATAGAAAGTATACACTGTAATAAATTTTAAATTCTTAAAATTGATTTTAGATTTCTAAATTTTAATAGAAAGTATAAATTTCATAAATTTGTTTAGGTACCAAATACATACAATATTTGATGGTCATGGTGCATTCAAATGATCCGAACATCACATTGTGGGTTCAAATAATATTATTGTTTACAATGCATACGTTAAGTTTTTGGCCCATTAATTATCATCTCAACCAATCAAACCTCATCATTGAATTCTAACCTGATTGCAGGTGAAAAGAAGAAGAATGGTTTAATCACAAAGGCTGATTGATGGCTGGTAAAGAAATGGTGAATAGGGAAAAAGTTAGGATGATAAAATCCAACGAGATGATACTTTACCTTACACATCTCACGTTTCATTAAATGGGTTGATAAGTTAGGGTAGTTTCTTAATATTTTTTTATATAAAATATTTTTTATATATTTTTTCTTAAAATATATTTTTAATTATATAGATAATTTTTAAATTTTATTTATTAATTATTTTTTAATAAATAAATTAAAAATTTATTATATTTATATGTTAAAATATTTAATTATAATTAGGATTTAATTTTAATTATTTAATATTTATAATTTAAATTATAATATTATCATATATTTATATACTTTAATAAAATAAAAAATGGTAGTATTTTAATTTAATTTTTTATTTTAAATATTTTTTAAAAATAAATTAATATGTTAATTCATTCTATCTCGTTTTTAATAGACTAGATACTATTAGGTGAATTGATATGTTAAAATTATTAATTATTTTATAACCTTTTTTAAAAATTAATAATTTTTAAATAATTTATGATTTTTTTTTAATTTAATAATTATTTAATATATTTATAATTTTTTTATTTTTTAATAATATATTATTATTTATTCCTAGATTAACGATGAAGATACATTACTAATAATAAATGTATTTTGTCCACCTAAAAGAAGTTGCCGCGCTCTTGCGGTACGACAAGTGGGGCGGTACCTATTACAAATAGTGGCATGACACTAACAATACATATAGAGTATTATTTGGGGATCTTAATACCAAGGCGATTCTTATGACAGAATTAATTATGAAAAAATATTATATTAAAAATTTTTAAGAATAATTTGATTTTCAATAAGTATCCTGACATAAATATTTACCTACTTCCGTTAAATTCGATTGAGTCGGTGATTATCAACTTTGATATAAGTAAATACAAATCAAATATAACATTATTTTTACCTCAAAAATAAAAAGACGTCAGATAATAAATTACTTAGTTTTAAACATATATAACAATAAAAATATTTAATAAATAATTTTTCATTTCTCTTTTATTTTCTTAATCAAAATAATATTTATTTCCATTTTTTTATTTTTCTACTCAACTTTCCCTCCTTCCCTGTAAACAAACTTTAAAATTAAAAAAAAAACTTGATTGAATAATTTTTTAATATTTTGTAAAACATATAATTTTAATTAGTCTTATAATATTAATAAATAAATAATTATATTTTAATTAATTTTTTTGTCAGAGTGAAAAAATAATAAAAATTTAAATTAGGTACCAATATTTTTTTAAATTTATTTAAAGTTTAAAACTAAATTAAAACTTGTTGATAAAAAAACTTAACTATTTTACCATTATCTTTAATAAATTTCAGAGAACAGTGCCCCACAATAGCGTATATGATTCCACTGTATAACATAAAATGATGAGAGAGAGATAAAATACAAAAAAACTCTGGTTCCCTAGTACGTTTTCCGAGAAAGTCAACGTTTCTCTTCCATGCTTTCTCCTTATTTGTCTGCAATCCATGACCATGTGTTCCTTTTCTTTAGACAAAACTGACAAGGTCATCCCAGATATTAATATTAATGCGCAATAAAGAAAAAAAATAATTATTAAAACTAAAGAAAATTTACAGATTTTCTAACGAGAGGTTAAGTAAATTAAAAAAAAATATTATTCTTAAAATAAAAAAATATTTTGTTAAATAACAATAATAAAACTCCAAATATCTCCCAAACTTAGAAGGTTGTTTGCATTCACCTTTATAATTTAATGTTTTCCTTTCCTTTTACATTGTTTTCACTCTACTAAAAGAAATAGTTTCATACTTTACCAAAGTTTAACTGCAAATAGTCCATATTCATATTTAAGATTAGTATCAGCTATTCAATTAAATTATAATTTTACCTCACTCTAAATTATTTTAAAGATATTTAGATCCCTATAATATTACTCTTTTTTTATATATAAATATAATGTATGTACTAATGTAATTGTTTATTGTGTAAAAATCTTTAAACTGGAAGTATAAAAGCCTTTATTTTATCAATTATATTTAATAAACAATTGTTTTTTGTTTCTGGTAAGGATAATATTTTTCATCCTGAAAAATTTCAAAGTTATTTACTTTTTTCTCCTTTGTGGCGAAAATAATGAATTTGATTAGAATTGTCAAAGTAAAATTCTTTTATTCAATTATATATATATATATATATTATGATTTATATATAAAATCGTTTATTATTATTATTATTATTTTTAAAGTGGGACAAAATGCTCATTAGGATAATAATAATTTGTTGGAATTAAAAATAAAAATAAAATATTTGTAACATATTAAGTTTTAATTCGATTTTCAAAGTATGAAAACTTGTTAATTAAGTTGGTAGAGGAAAAGAAAACTAGTATAGCTTATAAGAAACAAAGACAAATTTTCTTTATTTTCTGGAAAAAATATTTTTGAATCTTTATACTTTTTTGTCAAACAGATTTTTCTTTTGAAAAAAAATGTTTATAATTTTTTTTTAAATATGATGATTTTATTTATTTCATGTAACAATTCACATCACAATTTTTTGTTTGATTGTAAAAAAAATGTTGAAAAACGTAAAACATATTTCATTATCTTTAAATTTCAGGAAATTAAGTCACCAAAATTTTAAAATTATGTGGATACATTAAAAAAAATATATGAAAATTAAAAACCGAATTTTTTATTTTATAATTTTATGTCAGTTAGAAACCAAAACAAAAGTACATTTTTTTAATAATTTTTTATTATACATGGACATTGGGAACCTCAATTTCGAGTTTTAAGGAAATGGAAAAGTGAAAGGGACGTTTCATCATGCATGAAAATGGTGAGGTGGCATATATCTTGAAGTGTAAGAGAAGACCAAAGACTACGTGTCTTCATGTTGCTTTGAGTGCAACCAATGCATGTAAGTCAGTGGAAGCATGCATGAGCAATGAGGTAGAACCTTGTCTCACTTCCCCGTGAACCTGATGATGGCTATATATACTTCTACCAAGTTGAAAGAAAATGCAAACAATGGGAGTGTTTGAGGGTTGAATTTGAGGTCTTGCATGCTTTTGTTAGAAGGAAAAAAAGTGAAGCTAGCTAGCAAAATCGAAGGTTGGTTCAGATACCAAAATTTTAAGGCTCAAGAGAATCAAGGATAACCACAAAGTTTGTTATGAAGTTTCCATCTTAAGAGAGTTTTCATTTTCTGCTCAAGATATCTCAGATAGACAGCCATAAAGTTTGTTAATTTAATTAATGTCGTGTTTTCTGCATATAAATTGCATGCATGTTGTGTTTTCTCTTAGCTCAAGAATGGAAAAGCTTCCAAATGCAGGGTTTACACGTTTATAACCTCTTCTGTTCTTTCATTCAGAGCACATCTTTAATGTTTCTCTTTTGTTTTGTTGATGAATAAAATGAGTATGGTCTTGATCTTTTTCTCTGAAATTTCAAAGTTCACTAGTATCGATTCAATGTTAGGATTTTAAAGTAAAGTTAAACCATAACTCTTACTGTTAGAAATTCTCTCATGTTTATTATGTGTCTTGTCTTGTTATCATGAGGCTCAAAAACATGCATTGCAGAAAGTGTAATTTATTTTTTTCTATACTTATTTTAAGAGTAGATTGAGAATCAAAATGAATTTCCATGGTGGCTTCCGTATGTTATGAAACTTACTATTCACTTATTTTCTGTTCAATGTTTAAGGCTTTTGGTTTTCTGATGGAAATGGAGAATGAGAACTGTATCACACAACAGCCTCAGAGGCCAAAATATGATTGTCTTCTGTTTGGTAAGCCTTGTAACCACATATTACTTTACAGATATAATTGTCTTCATATTTGTGCATACTGGTATAACTATGATATCACTTTGCAGATTTAGATGATACATTGTATCCTCTCAATTCTGGTCTTGCAAATGCAGTTCACCAAAATATTAAGGGTAAGAGACTGTGTCACACTTGTGCTACAGTATTCTCCTTAATGTCTTACATTTGCAGCTGAATTTAGTATTGACATGAGTGATATGTTGATCTTTAGACTACATGGTGGAGAAACTTGGCATAGAATCAAGCAAAACTGATGAAATGACTAACCTCCTTTACAGTAACTATGGAACTACTATTGCTGGTCTAAGGGTACGATGTTCTTGCTTTAATTACTTATCATTTTCTGTTAAATAAGTTGTAATTGTTAAATTCTGAAAATACTCAATTTATTTACTGTCATGTGGTTCATTTTGTATTCAGGCAATTGGATATGACTTTGATTATGAAGAATATTACAGGCACTGTTGCTTCTTTCTTTTTCCCCATCACTTTCAAATGGCTAACGAGTCTTTTTTTTTTTTTTTTTTAATCCTTGTGTTTGTTGATATTGAAATGTTGAGGTGTTGACTTTTAAATTCTGTTGACAGTTTTGTTCATGGGAAATTACCTTATGAGAACTTGAAGCCAGATCCAGTTCTGAGGAATCTTCTGCTGAGCCTTCCCCATAAGAAGCTTGTAAGTTGTTTATAACAAAAATGGAAACAGAGAAATAAGGTCGCAAATGATATTGCATAATCTAAACTATTTCTTCGTATATATATATATAAAAGTTATTTTTAAGGTTTCATTAGCATTACAAGCTTTCTTTCCAAACTTCTCTTATTTTTAAGATATTTTTAAAGGGTTTAACTACATGAAAAATTAAGTTTTAAGTTGAGGAAAAATATTAAAATATTTTGAAAACCATGTTTGAATATTAAAATATATTAAATTTTGTAATTTTTTTAGTGATTCTCATATTGTATAGTATAGTGTAATAATTTTGAATTTCTAAAATTACCACAATTTTTTTACTTGTCTTTTCAAATATTTTATTCACTTAGTTACCATATATTTTTTAACAATTCAGTATTATATTACTTCAATAGAAATTGTTTTAATAAAATTTAAAAAACTCATTTTCTCTCTTATTCTCTCTTCATTTTTTTATTTTTATAAATTATTTAATGAAATATTTATAAAATCAATTAAACAACTTTATAATGTCATATAGAGATAATTTCAATAAAAAGTTACTTAAAATAATTAATATTTTAAATATGCAACTTCATTTGGAGATAGTATTTAATGCTATATTTATGCATGGTACTTAATGGGGATTAGTATTAATTTCGAATGACAATCGTAGATTATTCTCTTCTTTTTGTCAATAGATCTTCACAAATTCAGACAAAGTCCACACCATTAAGACACTTGAAAGACTTGGATTGGAAGACTGCTTTGAAGGAATCACATGCTTTGAGACCCTCAATCCTATCAACAATGGCACTGTTTGTGATGACCAAGAGAACATAGAGGCTGCAACTTCAAGGGCCACTAATCCAACACCCAAAATTGGTCTAAAAATCTCTGAAATCTTTGACATTATACAACACTTTGCTCAACCTGATCCCACTACAGTCCTTCCAACGACACCAATTATCTGCAAACCATCAGAACATGCCATTGAATTGGCCCTCAAGATAGCCAACCTTAACCCACAAACAACAGTAAGAAAATCAACCTTTCAACTGCCTTTATGACTCAATTATGTTAACTTTCACAATAATATGTTTATTAGTCCTTACAAAACATCACACATTTTCTAGTTTTTCTCTTTTAATTCTTTCTATAAATGTGTCACAGTATTATTATATTTCATCAATCTCTATTATTTCGAGATGCTTGTCATATTTTCATTCAGTAATATGATAGGATTGTTTTTAAGCATCGATATTTCAAGAAGCTTTGAACAGTGCTTAAATTTATGGAGTGACACATGTTTAAACCTTTTACCTGTTGGCTTACATTTTATGGGGTTCTTTGTGACATTCAGTTGTTCTTCGAGGATAGTGTCCGCAACATACAAGCTGGAAAACGCGTGGGTCTTCATACTGTGCTGGTATGTCATTGTTGGGAACATTGCTTTGTTGCAGAAAATAACTGATTGTTTTAGAAGTGTGCTAATATGCAGCTGCCATTTTCAACAGGGTCAATTTTGGAGGTTTAAAAACAAAAGTTAACCTTTTTTTTCCTAATATTTGTTTAGAATTTATAAAAATGACCTTTTTTGATAGATTTTATACTTAAATCAAAAGAAGAAGGAAACGACACTGTGATGTTAAATATTATAAGAAGTGTCATTAACATTTCAGGTTAGATGTTATTTTTTGAGGCTTTATGAACTCATTGATTGCTATATCCAGGTTGGTAAGTCCTACAGAGTAAAAGGTGCTGATTATGCCATGGAAAGCATTCACAACCTTAGGGAGGCAGTGCCTGAACTATGGGAGACTGACATAAAAGCACATGTTATTGCATGCCCTGGAACTCAGAAGCTTGCAGTGGAGACATCAGTTATGGCTTGAGACCGAGCAAGAACATGACCCTTTCAATTATCTTTAATAAATTTAAGGATTAATTACATTTTAAGTTCTGAATTTTTAGATAAATTGCAGTTTTGGTTTTCTAAATTTTTAATTCAAGAGACTAAAATAACTTCTTTAAATTTGAAAACCAAAACCAGATTCATCTTGAATTTAAGAACCTAAAAATTTAATTAAACCTTGTCGTATCTAATTTGAAAAATGTTGGCTTAAAAAGGAGTTGTTTCCGCCCTTCAGTTGTAGTAGTTAGTTAAGTTTGGTCCTTCGAAGTCGCTTTCTTGTAATAATTGCATGAGGTTATGGTCTGTTCTTGTACTCTCGTAGTTTTTAATATTGATCGGGTAGTGCTTTTGTTTTCTTCTATTTTTTTATATATAAAAAAAAGTTAAAGAAACAGTAAAAAAATTATAATTAAGTTAATGCATATTCTTTTCAAACTCAACTATAAGATGAACTCAAATATAAATAACTTTTAATTTTTTTATGTAATTTAATAATATTATTTTAAAAATAAATTTAATTAATTGAATTAGATTTTCAATTATTCTTTACACTGACCCTTCAAAAAATATTTTTTATACATGATTAATAAAATTAAATAATATTAAGTAAATTTCTTCATAATAAGTTTAGTTAATTTTGTTGAATATAAGGAAATCGTGTTATTCTTTGTTTCTTATTGTAATAAACTATATAGAAAAAAAAAACTCTAACTGATTAACTAATGGTTTTATTTAACTAACAACCTTAATGAATTAATGATTTTTTTATTAAGAATTTTTATTTAACTAATGCTAACTCTACTAACTTTTTATAACCTAATAAACACTTTTAAGAGTTTAAATGTAAATTTATATATTATATTAAGAAAGAATAAAAAAGTTAAATAATATATAAGAAAAAAATATAAAACAAAATATATTTAAAGTTTTGGATTAAAAATAGTGTCAATCTTTTAGGTGAGGTAAACTCATTTCATTAAATAAAAATCAACACTTTGTGTGGTTATGACAAGAAGTTGGAGAATTTATTTACTGTTCAACATGTTTCTTAAATATTCTCATTCCTGTATAGTCTCAGTTTGTGGTTACATATTTGATCTCCTTCTCATTCTCATTGATGGTGTAGACATCATCTTAGGCATGGGTTTGTTAATATCTTAGGATCCCGATTTCTCTATATATACCAATATTATCATTTGATTATTGTGGCTCACCTCACCTATCACCTTATTAGGCTCCAACCATTTTGAGCTTCAATCATCTTTTTTCCACCAATTATGTCATTTTCTCAATTCAGTCTTCATTGCTTCTTTACACGTACTAACCTATCAACCTATTCATAATTCATTTGATACCCCTAATTGCGATATTCTCATACCATCCCTGATTACAATATTCCCTGGTTGAGTGGTTCTTACTGAAGACATTTTCTGAATAAAAGGTTGAACTCGGTGCTATTATTGGTGAATTGTGACTAGTTGGTGGTGCTTATTTTAGTGCCCACATCTGACTGAGAAGTCATCTTGCTCTGGTGCTTAAGTTTGACTGAGGTGCCTATCTTGTCTGGTCCAGGTGTGGTTTTCGTGCTAGTCTTGGTCCTTTGTAATGTTGGTTCTGACTTGTTTTTTAACTCGTGTTCGGTTTATTCTAGTGTTGTTTGCACGAGTCATATTTGCAATCAAAATTTTTGTCTCTAAATCCAAACTCATCTTACTTACTTTGATTCTTTTTTTTATTGTACCTTGATCACTATTTAGAGGTTCTTGATGAAAGAAAAATATATAAATTATTTTTCAAATGATGTTTTGACCAAGAATTCAACTTTTTAATTTTCTTGTTCTTTTCTTTTGTGTCATATGTATTGTTTCTTATTTTCTGCTTAGAGTCATATTATTGTGTTTGATTGGATAATTATTTATTATTTTATTGGCATGTGTTATATGTTCAAAGTAATTCATAGTTGAACACAAGGTGCAAGTATTATGTTCATACTTTGAGTCTTTTGCTTAATTTTTTTATTAAATATTAAAACTTCAAAGAAGCACTAAAAGAAAGTTCTTTATCTATGTACAGGTGTTAACTAAGTGACCCTTTGGACCAAAATCTATTAGAAAGTAAAGAGACAAAATATACATAAAAAGAAGAAGAAAAAGGTATTAAAACAAAATTAAAAGGTTCAAAATTTAATTAAACTACTAGTATGAGACTTTACCGACAAATTGCATATCATTATAGGTATTTTATGATTCTAATTTTCTCTTTCGACGAGAAAAGATAGAAAGAAGAAAGTTTTTTTATTATTATTATTATTATTATAATATTAAATTCTCATGTTAGAGAAACTTTTAGAAATGAATAATCAAACATCACCAACCGAGTCTGGTCTTATTCTATTAAACTCCATTTTTTTTCTTTCCAAAAATATCTCAAAAACCTTTTCCTCTAAGATAGAAAACCTTATAGAATATTCCTATGTTCCGGAAGATGACCATATCTTAGAAACATACAATCCTCTTCTAAGTCCTTATAATATTTTTAAGAGACAAAGATCTACCCTTAAATCTATTTTTCGAATTATCTTTACCAAAAGACCTCAAGTCAAGGAGTATGTTCAATCTTCTAGGATGGACCAGTGTGCCCTTGTCTCCACCACAGAAAAATAGTAAGTTAACATCGAGATTTTCAAGGATCTCATAAGGTACTGTGGCAAAACGAAGGATACACTCATCTTCACTATGGGGCTATACGGTTAGTCCTTTCCCTTCATGGAAAACGGAAACTACCCGTCTCAGTAAGAGTCTCTCTCTTAGACTCTAGTTACTTCCACTATAAACATGCTATTATTGACACTGTTTTGACTACTCTCCATGCCAAGAGTGTAGTTTTGACCATCTTTGCTAACTTTAACGTTAGCTTGAAAGATCCCACTATCTCTAAAAGATTAAAGGTTCATATCCAAATCACTAGAGCTGAGCAGGTAGCTGATGCACTATCAGTCACCCTCCATCATCAGATTATCTACAAGTTACAAGATCATGCTATAAATCGTGCGCTACCATCCTGTAAGGACGAAGTACTATTCGTCTTGACTAACAACCAAGATGAAACACCCTCCATAGTTTAGATCCCCATAAACATCTCTCAACAAAATGTTGTAGAAGTTGATCCCGATACAGTGCGTGACCAACTATGAGAAGCTCTACGTCAACCAGAAACCTATCCAATTCACTGAGGCAACTTTCAGAAGATCCGTAAACGGCACAATCAAGACCATAATAAAAAATCCTAAAGATGTTCCCAGTTCGAACACCTCGATCTTCCAGTCCATGATGATAACGCCGGTTACCAAAGAAGACAAGATCCCCATTACCAAAAAAGGCAAGATCTCCATAAGATAGGAAGACAATTCATCTGGGACGCAGTGACGACACTCGAATAGAAGGGAAACAATTTAGGGTTAGGTTTTAAGAGTTGATTTGATTGGAAATAGAAAACAGAAAAACATAAAAGATACCGTAGGCGCCACAAATAAGAATATTTGATAAGCCAAGAAGGATCGCCACAAGAACCGAATAATTCTTGATAAGATCAAGTGATGCAAGGAAGAACCCTAGCAGAGCAACAACTCACAAAGTGATTCTGAATATTACGTCCGTTCATTCTGAATTCCCAAATGTTTAATACAACTTAAGTTTATAAGTTTGTCTCATTGCAGGAAATAAAGATAAATTAAAATCCTAATATCCCAAGCAAAGTTAAGTTACCCAGATGGTTCAGTGAAGGCATTATAAGCTTTGGGTCTTGGGTTTAAATCCCCACTGTAGCAAATAAAATAATAATAATAATAAAAACTAAATCTTTTAGTTGGGCCTCCTAGCTCTCCAAATATTCTATGCATGTGATAGGTCTAGACTCCTCCATGTTTGGATCTTTTAATAGTTGAGCCTTTAGCAAATTGGTCACTTTGTATTGCAATGACTCTTGTGTTTTTCTGAGTCTGCCTCTTGTCATAGGTCCACCTAAGTCTTGGATTGGATCTTGGTCTTGATCCTTCTCGTTATGGGCTTAGGCATTTATGTCCACATCATTCCCTCCTTCTTGGGCAACATTTGTCCTCAAATCTATGAATTCATCTCCTTTTTCCTACCCTTGTTAGCTTGCCTCGCGTAGCTCTCATTCTTCTTTTCAATTTGAGCTTTTACTTGCTCATGCAACTTCTTCACATATTCTGCTTTAGTCTGTGTGCTTCCTTATGCTTAAACATAGAAATGTTAGGCAAAGGCAACAAATCAAGAGGAGTCAAAGGATTAAATCCATACACAATCTCAACTGGTGAACAATTAGTGGTGCTATGGATAACCCTATTATAAGAAAACTCAACATGCGGTAAATATGCTTCCCAAGTCTTAAGATTTTTTTTTAAAATAGTCTTAAGCAATGTGCCCAAAGTCCTGTTGACTACCTCAGTTTGACCATCAGTTTGTGGGTGACAAGTAGTAGAAAATAATAATTTAGTACCAATCTTACCCCACAAGGTCCTCCAAAAGTGACTAAGGAATTTTGAATCCCTATCACTCACAATGCTCCTCGGCAACCCATGTAGCCTTACTACTTCCTTGAAAAACAAATCAGCCACATGACAAGCATCATCTACCTTCTTGCAAGGTATGAAATGTGCCATCTTAGAAAACCTATCAACAACAACAAACACAGAATCCTTTCCATTCTTTGTTTTAGGCAGCCCTAAAATAAAGTCCATAGAAATGTCAGTCCAAGGATATTCAGGAACAGGTAAAGGAGTATACAACCCATGAGGCTTAACCTTAGATTTAGCCTTTTTACACACAATGCAGTGATCACAAAACTTATTCACATCACGTTTCATATGAGGCCAAAAGAAATGCTCTTGCAAAATTTCTAAAGTCTTTTGAACCCCAAAATGACCCATCAAACTTTTTGACTATTTCATTAAGAGGTGCA